GTGTGGGAGTGGCGGCTGACTTTTCGTGATTTTCCTTTCATGTGTAGTATATACCCCCCCCGCTCGACAGCAAAATTTTTGGGAAAAAGGGAAGTTTCGGGAAATTTTGGAAAAAGTGGCAGGAAGTTGGGGAAAATCTGAGAATTGGTAGAAGGGGGGGGGTCGTATTGTCTCGCGGCTTTTCCTGTTTCACATGTGCTATTTACCCTCCCCCTCCCCGCTCGACGGCTCGATTCGATGAGGAGGGACAGAGGGCCGGAGGAGGGGGGGGGTCGTACCAACCCCCAAAAAAGGAGGGGGGGGTCGTACGGACTGAACTAAAATTCTCAACCAATGATGTGCCCTGTTCGGCACACTTAGATCGCGGTCAGACTTCGCGATCGTCGCACGGCTGAATCGCGCCACCACCACCGGGGCATTACTGCCACATGGTGCATCAATCAACGGAAAAATTCGAACTGGGCCGCGTTCACGTGCCAATCAAGCAATTCTTCGAGCGATCCAGTCGAGTGACCCGACACGAAGTCTGAACGTGGTCTTAATGCTCCACTTTGAGTTAAGCAGTTTTTAGAGTTGGCGGAAAGAAATGGATGGGAGAAATGTCGTCAAATGGACAAAAACTTCCGTGGACAAAAGAGGGGATAAGAGTACTGCGTACTACAGGTGTAGCCGAGCACTGGCTACACCTCGAGATGCGGAAACACTTCGGCCGAAATCCAAAAAGAATACGAAGTATTGTACAGCGTTCATGCAGGTACACTTCTCAGTGGTTTTTAATCCATATCCCGCAGATGGGGTGGGCGTGGCTTAATCCTTGATACGTATTTAAATTGAACATTACATATTTCTTCCTGGTTCGATACAACTTTGGTACCCTTGTGTTGGGAAGAAACATGTTCGCAGTTGCACCACAACGGTAGTATCCCTACAAAGTGCAGCCGTGGTCATGTTGAGACATGACCTCAATACGCAGCCACGCCCCCTACAGGGGCAGTTCGGCGACGGGGGGATTTTCTTCTCATCGATGTGTCGACCCATCTAGACAGCCTTTTCTTGAGTTGACACGTTTTACCATGGTGGCTAGACGAGCTTGCTCCAGCTTCACAAGAGTTCACAAGTTTCACCAGAGTGAGACTTGTAAACCGGAAGTAGTGAAAGCAAAATACCCCCTCCCCCCCCCCCGTCGCAGAGCTCCTTTATCTCGAGGACAACGAATGCATGGTGTATTCGCTGCGAACAAAAGGCGTGTCAGACGAGGTGAGTTTTGGCGCGGCGCCAAACGGTTGTCCAGCAGTTACTGAGAGTAAGCAACAAAACTATATCTATCGTTCGTATCACTCGTTTTGTTCCAGTCTTCGTCGCATACCCGCTTCAAAAACTGGAAGAGAAGAGGTTTGGCGCCGTGGCACACTCATATTGCCTGACACGCCCTTTCATCTGCAGTGTACTATAGTATACGTGCAAAAACATCAGTTGTAGGTGGCTGAGCAGAATGGAACCTTTCGTGTAACATACTGCAGTGGCCATGCAGGCCATGACGAGAATCCGCAATCACTGACGTTCGAGAAAGATACGGAGACCCTTATTTTCTCACTACTGGAAGAGAGATGCGATACTAAACAGTTCGTGGAAAAAATTGGAACAAACTTTCAAAACAGCGACGAGCATAGGCTACTCAATGACAGTGCACCACAAGAAACCAGGTAAGGTGTTTCACACATGCAAGTGCTTCTTATTTTCTCGTCTTGATAATGTTGAGTAGTAAGGAACTTACGGCGTTTCAAAGACTAGTAAAGGGAAACTTTCAAGAACCGTAGCAGTTATGAAAAGCGTTGTAGTCCGTGCAATCATTTTCGGGAGCCAGCCGATGTTTTTATCCTCCCACTCGGATCTGGCAACAGTTTGCCGATTCCGTAGGTGGAACTCGGCTGGCATTGGCGCCGAATAGGATTTGACACCTGAGCTGCACGCATGGTAAACGGACCATTTGCCACTGAACAACCATAGACAATATCGGAAGAACTGTGCATTCGCAGAAATCGAGTCACTCTTGAAATGAGTGCGGTCGAGCCATGATATGCGAGGCACGTATTACCATAGTAGCTCTTCCCTCACAGTGAGCAGGGCACCTACCGGAATAGGCGCAGTCGAGGTTGAATTCTGTTTCGACGGTGCAGTAGAACAAAGCGGGTAGAACCTACAAGTCTACATGGGAGCCTACCACCCTGAAGTCCCCAGCAGTTCGGCGGAATCAGAACATGAATTGGATCTGTAGTCCTCTGCACATTCATAGCATCCGTCTAAGGCCGCGTTCATAGCCCGCGACCGTGAAGAAATGCAGAAATGTGGAAACTGCAGAAGGTGG